CTCTGAATTCTTACTTTAGGGAATTCTTCCTTGACTTCATTTTAGAAATTAATACATTCTAGGCTCTAAATGATTCAGGATAAAAGTCATTCATCCTTTCAGTTGACATTTCCAGTCTAATCCAAGTCAACAGCTCCCAGTATTTCCAATATTCAATGCTACTTGGTAACTTATTTTTAAATTTGTTTGACAGTGTCACTGGAGTTCCAACTGAATAAAATCTATACCCCAAAGTCCATTCTTAGAATTGTAAAGTAACTTACAGAATAATGCAATGCACTTAGGAAGACTTTGGTTGTGAAGTTTAGAATGTCTTCTACTCCAATGGACAAGCCACCTTTCAGAGGTAATGGATCAAATGAATCAATTTAGGAGATTAAATGGACCAGAATAAATTCAGCAGGAATCTCTTGCTCTCAAAATGCAAGATGTAAGCTATTAGCAGATCTGTAACATTCCAGGCATGGAAACGCTCACACTGAGTTAAAAACACTCTTAAAGTCAAGAGCTGTTGGCCTTTAACAGCTGTCCCTCTCAAGATGCTGTAACTCTTCACCTGCACCAGCACTTAAAAGCCATTTGAAGTCTCTCCATTTCATTTTTGCACATCAGCCGCAGAGCTGATGACTCCATCACATTCACAGCAGCAATCCTAAGCATGGAAACTGACAACTTTGGGACTGCAAACAGTAATGAGGTCAAAAAAAAGAAAGCTTGGAATTGTTCATCTGGATGCACCTCCTTCACTCATGGTTAAAGCCTGTTCAACAATGTAAGGCTGTCTGCATCTTCTGTATGTTGTGCACAGGTAGACAACATCTTTCATTGCTATTAAGTTGACACAAGGAATGAAGAACATGCTCTACAAACATAAAGGGCCTGAAGCTACAAAATGCTACATACAACTTATTAAATCTTACAAAACCAACAAGTTCTTATGTTCGGGAATATATATTCTCATGTAAAGCATAAAATCTGTAAAGACTTACAGCATAGTAATTTCCTTTTCTGGGGAAAGAGGAATGAGGATAAAACAGAACTCTCACCTAAATCCCTGCAAATATCCTGCCAGCAGTGCCGGTGCCTGCCGCGGCCCACCGCGCTGTGACAGCGAAGGGCGAGCGCGTGGAGGGGGAAAGGCTGCTTCCCGAGCGAGTCCGCTTTATCCGTGCCTTTCCTGCTCCCTGGGGAAATCTGGGGGGGTTTGTTTGTTTGTTCGGGTTTTTTTAGTGGTGGGGAGCGGGGTGGGAGAGGCAGGAAGTCGACCGGATTTCCCCGTGGAGAACGGGGCAGCTCGTTCTCGAAAGGGGACAGAGGAGAAAAGCAGAACAGTCTATAGTTGTCTTTTTCAGCCTGTTTTATTAGGGATAAATGGGTCATAAAAACTGTCAGTTTTTCTGAAGATTCCTAAAGAATTGACTGGAAGGAGCTCCGCCGGAGAAGCTTCCATGAATGAAAAAAACCACACACCCCCACCCCAAATTAGCATTAATGAACCCTTTATACGCTAGAAAATAGGAACATGTACAACACAGAAAATGGTTCGTACATCTCAAGTTAGTGACCTAGCTTTCAGATGATTAGTGAAAAAAATCTGAGGTGTGGGTGACCTCTGATTATTTGGCTATCAGGTGTTTCCCTTAAGTTTTGGTTACAGGGGTATTTACTTAGCCTTTAGGGTTAATGTCAGTGTGGTATGCAAGCTCAAAAAATGCAGAGTGCCATTTCCAAAGCAGAGTATTAATCTCCAACATTAAGAATTTATGCAAATAAAATTAGTGTCTTAGGTAGCAAGATGTTCAAAATAAAATTGTACCTGTTGCTTAATTTATTGGAGTAAATATTTGTATTGCTGAAGTTGACTGACAGTTACTAATTTTTTTTCTCAGTTCCACAAGATTTACAGTGGAGTTTCTATGTAAAAAGTGTCTGTAAACACTCTTTTATGTGGTCCTGTAATATTTCTGTTTTTCTGAGTGCCTGATCTAATTTGTTCATTTTGAAAGGAACAGCCAGTTATTTTCTTTGTAATTGCTACCTCTGCAAATTCAGCCTTGACTTTAAGAATTAAGCTGAATTCTTTGACACTTCACTGAGAAAGAGGAAGTTGTCCTGCTGACCTCATTTCAGCAGGGATAGAGTTAATTTTCATCCTGTGTTTTGGATTTAGTGTGAGAATAAGGTTGATAACACACTGATGTTTTAGTTGTTGCTAAGTAGTGTTTACCCTAAATTAAGGATTTTTCATTTTTTCATGCTCTGCCAGCAAGGAGATGCACAAGACGCTGGGAGGGAGCGTGGCCAGGACAGCTGACCCGAGCTAGCCAGAGGGATGTTCCATAGCACAGGACATCATGCTCAGTGTATAAACTGGGGGGAGTTGGCTGGGCGGTGGATCACTGCTCGGGCAGTCAGTGGGTGCTGAGCAATTGCATTGTGCACCACTTGTCCTTCTTGGGGTTTATTTCTCTTTTTTGTTACCTTCCTTTTCATTATTATTATAATTACATTTTATTATTATTGTTATTATTACATTTTGGCTTAGTCATTAAACTGTTCTTAAGCCATGAGCTTTACTTTTTTTTCGGTTTTCCTCCCCATCCCACTGGAAGCGGGGAGAGGTGAGCAAGCTGGTGGCTGGGGTTAAACCACAACACATGCCAGTCTTTCAGTTTTCTTAATATATCATTAACTCATATGGGAAATCCCACCTAAATTAGGACAATAAATACACTTAAAATAGTATTTCAGTGATCATCTTTCCCTTTCTATATCCTTCAATTCCAGTGTCATTTTAGGGCTCATTATTCACATGCATTGCTGTTACCATGCCTGAGTGAGCACAAACAACTTTGAAACTCCCACGGATAGGGTTTTTTCTGCTAAAAAACACCTAAACTATGTATATATAGTTATTTCTATTATGTGTTCAAACGTTTGCATTACAGAGGCCTATGTTTTCTGTGTTTCTGCCCTCAGTTCAGACTGGTTGGGTGGTTTGGTGATTTTTTTGTCCTGTGCTGCTTTTTTTTAAAAAAAGTGTTATCTCTCCTTTTTTTTCTTCTGTCATGGTCACTCTGGGCTAATTAAGTAGGAAAACGTTAGTCTTACTTTTTTTCAAATTCATGCCTTTGTCCTCCTCACACTAGTTAATTTCAAAAAAAGGGGAACTGTAATCATTGTATTAGTACTAGCATGAAACTCCCATGAACTGACTTCTTTTTCTGGGAAACAAAGCCTTTTAAGGGTCATAAACATGTAAATTGCAGAAGTTACTAATGGACAACAGCAAAAACTTTGGGGAGGGGTTTTAAAAAGCAGTGCAGTTCTGGTCGATGTTCATTGTCTCACAGTCCAAGGGTGGACAATCCAGAATTGCTTTCCATAGCAGTAAGATTATTCAGAACTAGTAATTGTCTCAGAGCGGTGACTGAACAGGGTAATGCGTAATGGCTGATGAATTTTGCCGCTTCATTCCAACGCATGGCTGGCACTGGAGCCTCCTTCAAGCAGAAGGCGTAGCCTTGTCTGCAGGGTGGCATTTCACTGCACAACAGCCAGACGCAGAAGTGACCTTGTGCTCCCCACTCAGTTGATGAGTGGGGCAGAGGCATGTCACAGAAGCGATGATTTCGCTTACTGAGAAGGGGGTCGGAAGGTTGCCACCTCTCCTTTTGAGCAGCATCTGGTAGACAATTTTCTGCCTAATATTGTCAATCATTCCCTTGTTCTTGAAGGTGCCTGACTGTCCTCCCAGCTGGAGTGAGAACTTCAATGATCACTATAAAGCAAAACAAATGCAAAGTTTACAAAGGGGGTGTGGAGAAGGCAGGTCCCCAAATAAAGAAGTTGGCAGGGGCTCAAATGCCTGGGATTATGAGAGAAGTGGAACACACACATGGTTAGTGCACATGCTGGTTTGAATACTAAAGCTCAAACAAATACATTTGTTGTACACTAAAAAGTGAAAAGTGAACGACTACTTGAGCAGGTTATATTTAAAAAAAAAGAAGTAGTGATTAAATGTGCAGAAAATTGAGGGTTTCTTTGCTTCCCATTGCTGCTAGACATTTTTTAAAGGAAAGGAACTGAAGCATAGCATCGGTCTGGGAGGAGGTAGGAGCAGAGGGGATCTTGCCTCTAGTGATAAAAATCTGTCGTTCATAAGCAAGGGTGAAAAAATATTTAGAGACTAAAGAAAATAAATCAAGAACTGTATTCTTTCCTTGCAGGCACATAAGAAAAAATAAAGCCTAGCTAGCCGAGGTAGGATTCAGGGTGGTCCAGCAAAATGCACCCTGCAATGCATCCACCTGATCCCGTGAGGCAAACTAAATCACACCTGTACTAGTGCTTGTTGGCCCTGGCAGGTGCTTGTCGCTGCTGGGAGCTGCACTGCTGACGGATCATCCCTGATGGAAGCAGGTCTGGGAACAGCAGGCGAGGTGGTAACAGAGCCTTATGGAAGAATCTCTGCTTTTTGAAGCAAAAGGAACTCTTTCCCCAATGTGGTGTCAGGCAAGCTTTGCCTGCAATCACCATCACGTTATAAAGTGGCAGTAGCTGAATGGAACAAAATGTTAAACAGATCAGGAACTAATAATATTAAAAATGAGAGGATACTTAACTGCGAGGTGGACTGTGTAAAGTGTTTGGGAAAAGTATGTATCATAAGTAAACTCCACCAATCAGTATAGACTTGTTAAGGTAGTGCCAGGGAAAGCTAGATTTTTTTCTGTGGCTATTGCACAGAACTGCCCAGTGGATATACTGAAAGTAGTTAGACAATAATTATTCAAGATGAACTGCAAAGCTGTCACTGTAATTCACCTTCACAGATTGTTCTAGAACTTCTGGAGGGAGATATACATACTTACCATTCGAATTGTCTCATATGGAGAGAGAGAGAGAGAGACATTTCTTTTTTGGAAATATGAACTGATT